GTGTGCATTCAGCTGTGTGTGTATTCAGCAGTCTGTATGTATTAATCAGTCTGTGTGTTTATGTATTCAGCAGTCTGTGTGTATTCAGCAGTGTGTGCATATCTGTGGATTTAGCAATGTATGTATTCAGCAGTCTGTATGTATTCAGCTGTGTTTTTTATGTATTTAGCAGTGTGTATTCAGCAGTCTCTGTGTGTGCATTCAGCATTCTGTGTATGTGTATTCAGCCATCTGTATGTGTGTATTCAGAATTCTTTATATATTCAGCAGCATTTGTGTGTGTGTATTCAGCCGTCTGTGTGTATTTAGCAGTCTGTGCATTCAGCCGTCTGTGTGTGTGTTTACAGCAGTGTGTGTGTGTATTCAGCAGTCTGTGTGTGTATTCAGCAATCTGTGAATGTATTCAACAGTCTGTATGTGTGTGTGTATTCAGCCGTTTGTGTGTGTATTCAATAGTGTGAGTTTTTATTCAATAGTGTGTGTGTGCATTCAACAGTCTGTGTGTATTCAGCAGTCTGTGTGTGTGTGTGTTCGGCAGTGCGTGTATTCAGCAGTATCTGTGTGTGTATTAAGCAGTATCTGTGTGTGCATATTCAGCTGTCTGTGTGTGTGTATTCAGTAGTGTGTGTGTGTATTCAGTAGTGTGTGTATGTATTCAGATGTGTGTGTATGTGTGTGTATTCAGCTTTCTGTATGAATTTAGCAGTGAGTGTATTCAGCAGTATCTGTGTACGTATTCAGCAGTCCATGCTTGTGTGTGTGTGTGTGTGTGTGTGTATTAAGCAGTCTGTGGGTATGTAACAGTTTTTGTGTGAATGTGTTCAGCAGTCTGTGTGTATGTATTGTATGTATGTACTGTATTGCATTTGTTGTAGGCAGTTGAGTACTGCTGTGAGGAGTTGTGTACTGCTTTGCCTGTGGGCCTACAATACTGTTAAAATGACACTGCCCTTATGTTGGGTTTTTATATTCCTGGATACCAAATTAGGGCTCTGTTTAGCAGATTGCTATCTTATTTGCTATCCTTAAATAGAGCAATCCCACATAAAGATAGCAAACAGGGAAATTATCTACCAAACAGTTGAAAGCTCAAAATGAATGTGTCATGAGCCAGTACATAACAAGAATTCTGGCCCATTACCCCACCCTCTAGTGGAAATTATTAGCGCCTCCCCCCTCCTTTGCACCACCCACCCCCAATTCTGACTGTGGTGTCTTATGTGTTTATATCCATTCTTAGTGTTTCTGTTTCTGACTTAAACTGTATTGAGATTTGAAGACTGTATTTTAGTACCAAGATCTAGGACATTTGTTAAAAACTAAAATATTATATGTTTTTATCATTCCATTTCCACAGCATCAATAAACCTGTCCCATTTATCGATTGCATCTGAGAAGGTACGTCACTCAGAAAGGCTCTTTGTATATGTGTATTAACCCTTTCAGGACGGAGTCATTAGTACACGTTCTGATCAAAACAAAACGTAAACAAAAACTGGAATTTGCGCTATATGTCTTTTCAACCGTAATTCACCTCTTTCATATTAAATGCACCCACACTTATTATAAATCATTTTGTTCAGGAGAAATAGGGCTTTAATTTATCATTAACTATTCATATATGGAACATAATTTATTATGAATAAAAAATTTTAAAATAAGATTTTTTTTTTTAAAAATTGTATTTTCGTCTGACATTTTAGCTGTGAATGTCAGAATACTGTTAGGTTTTACTGCAAAAAAAATTCACATATTTGTAATCAGCGATGTCTCACGAGTACAACAGTACCCCCCATTAACAGGTTTTAGGGTGTTTTGGAAAGTTACAGGGTCAAATATAGAACGTTCCATTTTCAAATTGAAATTTGCCAGATTAGTAATGTTACCTTTGAGATGGTGTGGTAGCCCAGGAATGAGAATTACCCCCATAATGGCATACCATTTGAAAAAGTAGACAACCCAAGGTATTGAAAGTGGGGTGTGTTTAGTCTTTTTTAGTAGCCACTTAGTCACAAACACTGGCCAAAGTTAGCGTTCATATTTGTTTTTGTGTGAAAAAGCAAAAAACTAATATTTGGCCAGTGTTTGTGACTAAGTGGCTACTAAGAAAGACTGGACATACCCCACTTGCAATACCTTGGGTTGTCTACTTTTGCAAATGGTATGCCATCATGGGGGTAATTCTCATTCCTGGGCTACCATACGCTCTCAAAGGCAACATAACCAATCTGGCAAATTTCAATGTCAAAAAAATGAAATGCAGGTCTTATATGTGACTCTCTACCTTTCCAAAACACCATAAAACCTGTACATGGTTATTCTCGGGAGACTTCACTAAACACAAATATTAGTGTTTTAAAACAGTAAAACATATTACAACAATAATATAGTCCATAAAAGTGCCATTCGTTTGTAAAAATTGCAAAAAATTGCACTTTTACTTAAAATATAATCGTTGTAATACAATTTACCAGTTTGAAACACTAATATTCGAGTTCAGCGAAGTCTCCTGAGTAAAACAGTACCCCCTATGTACAGGTTTTATGGTGTCTTGGAGAGTTACAGGGTCAAATATAGTGCTTGTGAATTAAATTCTCCGCACTTTCTCCCTGTGTTGTCAGGCATGTCAATCAAATTTTAATTAATCAAATCACATAATTATGTTAAAAGATTACTTAAATATACATGTAGAATTTTAATATATATGCATTTATAGGTATTTAAATTCTACGTGTATACTAATGTAATCTTTTATGTAATTATATGTGTTTATTATATATATATATATTTGCGGTTATTTGTATTTTATATATATAGATAGATATATATAGAATGTAATTCTAAGTGTATTTTGTTACCAATATATATATATATATATATATATATATATATATATATATATATATATATATATATATATATATTAATAACATAATACAGTTAGAATGAAATTACATATGAATATATAATTTATATAAAATTTTGTTTCAATATTTTATTTAATTATTTTATTTATTTATTATTGTAATTATACGTATATATATAATATATGTGTATATATCTATTATATATATATATATATATATATATATATATATATAATATATATACATATTATATATATGTAACGTCATTCTAAGTGTATTTTAATACTAATATATACTTATATTAATATTAAAATACACTTTGTATGACGTTACACATATATAATATGTGTATATATATATATTATATAATATATATATATATATATATATTATATATATATACATTTCTATTTTATTTTAAAACATGTTTAATTATTTATTTATTTTTTACTTTCCCACCAGCAGGGGGACTGTCTGATATTTCAGACAGTCCCCCTGCTGGCAGATCCACAGCCAGCTATAGGGGGCCATGTGAACGCTCTTTGAGAGTGATCACATGGCCCCCGGGGGCCTGATTTGGCATGGGAGGGCTGCCTGGGCTGTCAGGCAGTCCTCCCGAAGCGGAGCGCTGGGAAGGGGATTATACCGGGCGCTCCAGGAGCTTCAGCCGTTACAGCGTTCTATGCCGCCGCAACGGCTTTAAAGCCCGTAACGGCGTTAAGGGGTTAAACAAAGAATCTTATGAAAATGTATCATATTTGTATTATGTTTCTTGTTCTTGATGTTGCATCCACCTAATTTCTCCTTGTTAAATTAGGTGAATGGAACATCAAGAACAAAAAACATAAAGATAAAGATAGAGCCATATGAGTGATTTTTCTGCATTATAGAGAATATTCAAAATAATCCATTATAGGTACACTATAGGTACCCAGACTACTTCTTTAATCTAGAAGTCAGCTTTGAGAAAGCATAAAGAGAGGAGATTAAAGGAGAACTATCACCACAATACTATCAGGGTTATTCACCAAAGTCAGAATTTAAAGGTAATTTCAAATAAGGCCAGAAAAGCTAACTCTTTTTTTTTTTTTTTAGGCTTTTTAGGCTATTTTGACCTTTAATTTGAAATTTTCTTTGCATTCACCTTAAATTCTCACTTTATATAATAACAATGTATTTATTAATACCATAAACATTTAAAAAAAAAATTGAAAGGAAATAGATTCTTTGTTATATGAAGTATATGTAAAAGACATGTGAAAAACTCACTCCAACCTTTAGTATATGTCAGGATACTTCGGCCATATACATGCACCTTCAGTCAGACAGTGTTTTAATGTGACATTTAATCATTGTGATAATGGTGATGCATTGAGCAGGGAGTGAAGAAGGGAACACCATAGAGACTAACTATCAATTAGTTCTGCCTAAACCAAGGAACCCATAGAAAAGCAGTAGGAGACAAGTGTGCATTGATGTGCCAATCAGATTGTCCCCTGACCTAGCAGTTACACTCTGCTATTTTACAAAAGTGCCACTAGTGGCTGTCATATAGCTGCAGAATGGCAGTGTTTTCACTGGACTGCAATGAGATCTGGGTGCCTATAGTATTCATTCAACTACAACTCTCATAATCCTGTCTCAGTGTGATAAGATTTGTTTTCCATATGATCTAAAGCAGGGGTGCCCAAAAGGTATATCTCCAGATGTTGTAAAACTACAACTCCCATGATGCTTTGCATGCTCTTATGCCTTTAGAATAGCAGAGCATCATGGAAGCTGTAGTTTGAAAACATCTGGGGATCTACCTGCTGGGCACCCCTGATCTAGAGTTTCCTAGACTGTCTCTCATTGCATGTACCTTTCAGCAATATTTTCCAAATGCTTACTAATGCTTGTTCAGCATGCCGATCACATGAGGCTATTTATTAATACATAATTACATGTATCGAAGAAAGTGCAGTTTTTACATTTGGTAGCTTATGTGTGCTGTCATCATTACAGGATGAAGATTTGACAAACTCAATGAACTTCTCCACATTTCAGTTGCATGACAATGTCTATGAAGAAATAGAACCTCATCAGTCTCTTCCTGATGTCTATTTTTGATTTTTTTGTTTTGTTTATTAGGAACCCTTTCTGCAGCATAATGTATACTCAGACCAACATCCGTGAGTTAGGTATAGGCAACAAGTAGCACTACAGTTGCAATGTGTAAGTGATCAACTAACAGAAATTAGGTTGGCATAGTGCATCTATTTCCCAACATCTCACACGTACCTTAGTAAATATTTCAATTTATAGCATGCATTTACATATTGCAAGAACAATAGTTCTAGTACCATGGAATTCTTTACAAACCCTTAGATTCCCATTTTTTGTAATGTAATTTCTATTAACCTTTATCGTGAGTTGTAAATCTTAAATTGCAATCACATCATATTTCAAGGTGACTGCATCTTCCTTTCCACAGTATATTTTTAATGTGAATATCTGTGAGGAGATACTATTTCATGTCATTACAGTGATTTTCATTTTTACCACATGTTTAAGGATAGTAAAAGAAAGTATATTGTTACATGTGCATTACATTTACACATACTAGAGAATGAATGCATGAGATTGTCCCTACTTACACCCTGGTTTTACATCATCGGACATCAACACAGCATATAGAACAGTGACTGCTAAACTTGGAATCCCAGGAACCGCAAAAACTTAAAGGAACACTGGCATCAAACATGTTTAATATCTTAATATAATATTTATGTTGTTTATGTCATCTAATTAATGCTTCTCAATCCATAAATATTGAAATTTCTGAACAAATCACTTGCCTGCCTTTCCACTCCCCTTTCTGATTTTTTCTTCTTTTAATGCACCTTGGTTCAGACTGTCAGTTATCCTTTATTCTTGTCAGTTACACCCGCCCAGCAATCCAGAGCTCAATTTTGGGAGGGGTACTGACATATTATATTGTTATGGTGTTTGTCAAATGTATTAAATTCATATACATTGCACATGTTTGTGGATCTCTGTGATACTTCTGCTCCTCTGTCTTGATTATGACTTATTTCCCTTAGTGCACACCCCCAGATCCACATTCCAAGACCCACATACAGATACACATGCACAGATTCCTACTTTTAGACTCACATATATGTATATACGCACAGGTCCCCACTCCTAGACCAACATGAAGGTACACTCGCACAGGTCTCCACTCCAAGATCCACATGCAGGTACAAATGCACAGATCTCTACTCCTACATCACAATTTGTACACGTGCACAGATCCCCACTCCTAGACCCACATGGATGTACATATGCACAGATTCACACTTCTAGGCCCACATGCAAGTGCACAGATTTCCATTCCTAGACCCATCGGAAGCTGCAGACCGCGGTCCCAAGGCACAGGCACAGGCATGCCCCTCGACCATGTGCCGCTGGCCACGTAGGAGGCAAGACCGCCCAGGGCGTTATATGCCACCCTGCGGCATTTAGAGCCGCACAAATAGGGACGGCATAGAATGCCCTGCGGTCTTAAAGGGTTAATAAAGAAAAAGACTGCATTACAAGAAATTCGATTTGTGTGGTGTTCCTATCATTAAGACTGTGTGGTTATATGGTCCAAAGTTACAACGCACAGACCCCTACTTGTAGACCCACATGCAGGTACACACAACCAGATCCCCACTCATAGACCCATATGTAGGTATAAACACACAGATCCCCACTCGTAGACCCACATGCAGATATACACACAGATACCAGCTCCTGGACCCACAGGCAGATACTCACACAGATCCCCGCACCTAGACTCACCTATAGGTACACATGCAGAGATCCCCACATCCAGGTACGCACATTCATAAACATATATGCAGGATTAATAAACCCACACACATATACTTGTACCCACAATCATAAGTATACCTACAGATGCACACTCATGCAGACAGACACTTACATTCAGAGACCCACATACAGATAGACATTCATATACACATATACAGGTAAGCCTTTAAAAAAAATAAAGATTCAAATCATGTGCACACCCATAGACAGTCTTTACTACAAACACATGACAGGCGCACAGTCGGATTTGTCGATATATGTGCTAACCTTACCCACACCCACCTTAAAACACGGACACAGGTTATATTGTTGGAAATAATTATTCCACAGCTTTATTAAATTATTAATAAAATAATTAAGGAATAACAAATGGGACATTGCCAACAAATCTTATTAAAGTTAACATCCCCCATATACATAACATACCCCTAGCAATGACCCCACAATAATAACAATCTAAATAACATGTTAATACAGAAACTGGCTGCCCAATATGACCACATTTCCACCAGGTTAAATTGTAGGGGTGTACCGCTACCCACCATATCGATTGTAGGGGTGTACCAAGACACCACCACACCCCCAGGTTCGGAGCCACCGACGGGCTCGAACCTACCAACCATGTGCAACACTGCCCAATCCACACTAAACCTCAGGATGCCCACTTTCTCCTCCATCTACCCTCCAATTTAACCAGGCCATTCCCCACCGCTGTGAAAAAACAGGAACTCAACTAACCTAACCAAATACAGGGAGGGACAACTGACAGGTAAGCTTAGGTTCAGTTAAAATGGCCACTTCATATAATGGCCGGTATAAATACTCCCCTTATGACTCTGCCCTACCCAGCATGCTAGCTGTTACTGCGCTGATCCACGGGCTACATTTAAAAACCACTCAGATACACACAGTCATTTAAATACAGACACACGTGGAGAAAGACAAACAAGACACACCCTGGGAAGAAACCAACAGTGAGATGGTATGCTTAACAAATATTTAAAAACCTTCTGCCTTTCTCTACACAAAGTGAGCAGCAGGGCCAGGTTTTACATTAGGCAAAGTAGGCACCTACCTACAAGTGCCTGTCCACTTTCATGATCATATATGTGTGTGTGTGTGTGTATCTGTATATATATATATATATATATATATATATATATATATATATGTAGTTATAGTGTATATATATGTGTGTGTGTGTGTGTGTGTGTGTGTGTTTGTATATTATAATTATACAATTGTTTAATATAATAAACAAAATTATAAACGCAACACTTTTTTGTTTTTGCCCCCATTTTTCATGATCTGAACTCAAAGATCTAAGACTTTTTTTCTATGTACACAAAAGGCCTATTTCTCTCAAATATTGTTCACAAATCTGTCTAAATCTGTGTTAGTGAGCACGTCTCCTTTGTCGAGATAATCCATCCACCTCACAGTTGTGGCATATCAAGATGCTGATTAGACAGCATGATTATTGCACAGGCGTGCCTTAGGCTGGAAACTCACTGTTTGGTGCACTTGCCCCTCCATTTTAGGTCACTTCTTTTGGTCAACAAAAATAAATGTATTATTCTTAATTTTTATTTTAGGGGAAGGAGGGAGCTTTAGAGTTCTATACCAAAGGCACCTGACTTGTAAATCCAGCCCTGGTGAGCAGTATGACTCATTTCTGTAGTTAGAATAGAGAGCAGACACATTCTAAGTAAATGTGTTGTGTGGAAAAGGTTGGAGTCAACCTGCAACCATAACCTCTGCAGACCTTGTCTACTTTCTGCTGTAAATCTTGAATGTCAATCGCAGATGACTGATGGGAAAGGAGAAGACAGTTACTCGAATAACAAAGAGAGATGTGGCCCAGGAACTCACCCATCCTACCATCAATCATTGAGCAGCACTGAGCCACCTGTTGTCCCTGGTTGGCTATTGGCTGAGTTTCTGTCATGTTCACTCACAATGGCATCACTAAGGGAGGTCCCCTCTAGATCAGGCCGTGCCCCTGTAAGAATATGAAGTAGTTAACTTGTCTTGTTTATTTGTATTTTATGCTTAGATAATGTTTATAATCATTAGTGCCGACTGTAAGGATATGAAATAGTTAAACTCTTTTTGCTTTATATGCTTTAAAATAATGTTTGAAATAATTATGCTGGCTTTGGCAGATGTATTTTGTACCAAGGTCTTCCTTCTAGAGGATGTTCCTGTCCCGTCTTTATTCAAATGCTTATCTTTTTATGTCAGACAAGTATGTACTACTAACTATAAGGAAGCGATAAATCTTGCTGCTTGCATGACAAACTGTGTATAAATGCTAGCCCTGAAAATATACTCACTGAGAGTCTTGTTAAAGCACATTTGTGGTGTCCGTGTCTTTATTGCTAACAATGATTCTCCATCAATATTGATTACGGTGACCGGAGAATCGGGAATCGAAGGGGAGTTGAGTCTAGAACAGCATTAACCGTTTCAGCCCCCTCTTGTCCCTCCCCCCAATTTAAAAATAAAGTTATGGCTTGTTGCGAACGCTGCTTGTCTGAAGTTGTGATAACAAAATAACATGCAGCCGGAGCCGCTCTGGCAGCACTTGTCGCCGTGCCACAAGGGAGCACTGCTTTAATCATCAGGGAACTGACAGCCGCGAGGTGAGTCTCAGCTTGTGGCTGTCAGTTCCCTGATGATTTTAGTTGTTTCGGATGCTTACTGAGCGGCACCAGCGTGCGTTACGTCATAATCAGACCTCAGACCTTAGAGAGGGAGGGAGCGGAGCGGGAGTTCACATTGCGGTGTGGCCACACCTTATTAGACTGAAGAGCGTAAGCTGAGAGCAGAGCAAGAGCAGTGAGGAGAAGAGCAAGCAAAGGGGGAGCAAGGCAAGCTAAGGGGAACGGGGTGAGTAGCGCGAGAGCAGTGAGGAGAAGAGCAAGCAAAGGGGAGAAGAGAGCAGAGCCTATATGGGGGGAGCTGAGCAAATATGGGGGGGCTGAGCAACTAGAGGGGAGCAGAGCAAGTAAGGGGGAGAAAAGCAAGTGGAGGAGAGCAGAGAGCAAGTAAGGGGGGCTGAGCAAGTTGAGGGGAGCAGAGCAAGTAAGGGGGGCTGAGTAAGTAGAGGGAAGTGGAGAGATGAGCAAGTAAGGGGGTGCCGAGTAAGTAGAGGGGAGTAGAGCAAGTAAGGGAGAGCAGAGCGAGTAGAGGAGAGCAGAGAGTAGAGCAAGTATAAGGGGGAGCAGAGAGCAGAGCAAGTAAGGGGGAGCAGAGCAAGTAGAGTGGAGCAGAGAGTAGAGCAAGTAAGGGGGAGCAAAGCAAGTAGAGTGGAGCAGAGAGTAGAGCAAGTAAGGGGGACTGAGCAAGTAGAGGAGCAGAGCAAGTTAGGGGGGCTGAGCAAGTAATGGGGAGCAGAGCAAGTAGAGGGAAGCAGAGAGCAGAGCAAGTAAGGGGAGCAGAGCAAGTAGAGGGGAACAAAGACCAGGGGCTTTTTTTTTTTTTTATGAATTATTCAATAACCCAGGTATTTCTGATTAGAAACTGTTCACGTCAATAAAGAAAATTGCTACTGTGCACAATGTGTGTTGCAAAGGTGCATTAGAATTCCATAGCATGACAATTTAAAATTTGTCACATGCAGTCTGCTATGACAATATAAAACGCATTTCTTCATATTATTAATGTACATTCATCCATGAAGAGATGAGTTTTTTTATTGTCATGGTAGACTGCATATAATGAATTTTACATTGTTATGGCAGTCTGTTACAGCTTGCGCAGCAGCCATTTTCTTTGTTGGGATAATGGGATAGTAGCCATTTTCTTTATTGGTGTGAACAGCTCCTAAACAGAAATATCGGGGGTATTAAATAATGACAAGTTAAAACCAATAGATTCAATGACAGGTTTTTATAATAATGACCATCATCCATTTTTAACTCTCCAAGCCATTTAGTCACATTACATTGTACCCCACCCACATCAATTGTTGAAGTGAGTGTGGATTGAATGGGTTGGGTGAATAAAGCTAGTGTGACCGAATGACTTGGAGAGTTAAAAAATGGATGATGAGCATTGTTAAAAAACAAAACAAAACAGTGGAGATGAGATTTATTTTTGAAAATGCCCATCATCATCCATTTTTAAATACTTCAATCCATTTAGTCAAATTACTGTCTCCCCATGCAGACCACACTACCCATATTAAAACGTTCATATGAGTGTCAATTCAAATACACACACGTTTTACTTTTGTGACTGCCTCCCCCTAAATATGAATGCTGGAGGCGCCACTGTTCACTCAGTAGGAGCATGATGGTAGTCAACTAGCTTGATAGCAGACATTGATTTCTCACATTCTACCAGAGGGTACTAGGCTCTGTGCAGTTGTGGGAGGTGATGGAAGTGTTTGTCAGTAATAACCTCTTATATAATGGTCAGTGGGATGTTCCGTGCTGGATGGGAGTACCCGCCTTGGTTCTTCATCTCAGGATCTGCCTGTGTCCAAGACACTTTTTTGCAACCATCCTTTATTTTTCAAAATAACCTGACAGAAAACTCTATTTAAATGAAATAGTGAGCATTGGGTCCAGTAAATGACAGAAAGAGGGAGTAGGAAATCCTGACCCAGCGCCGATGTCACACCTCTTTAGCCCCTTCAGCACTGCGGGAGAGGGGCCCCGATGGAGGGGGGTACTCCAGGAGCCTATAGTGCCAGAAAAACGGGGTTGTTTTCCTGGCACTATAGAATCCCTTTTAAATATATATATATTTTTTTATTTTTTTTTAAATGGAGTATATCACAAAAGAAAGGTTAACTAAAATTATGAGTGATTTTCAATGTTTTATTCAATTGTGTAAATTCCTGGGAATCGACAGTTCCCCTTTCAATGTAAATAAAAATATACAATAGATAAAAGATGACACAAAACTCTGTAAAGCAATACAATTTGAGCAAGATATTACTTGCTGCAGCGGGATTTAGATAGACTGGGGGACTGGGCACTTAAATGGCAGATTGAATATTATGTTGAAAAATGCAACATAAAGAATGCACAAGCAACGTATACCCTTAATGGAAGCGAATTAGGGATAACAACACACGAAAAAGACTTTGGAATTGTTATAGACAACAAACTATGCAGCAATGTCAATCAGCAGTGGCTAAGGCCAGTAAGGTATTGTCATGCATGAAAAAGGGCATTCATTCTCGGGATAAGAATATCATTTTGCCTTTTTATAAATCACTGGTTAGAACACATATTGAATATGCTGTGCAATTTTGGGCACCTGTTCTAAAGAAGGATATTATGGCACTAGAAAATGTGCAGAGGCGGGCTACAAAATTAATAAAAGGAATGGAACATATCAGCTATGAAGAAAGGTTAACAAATTTAAACCTCTTTAGTTTAGAAAAACGTCGCCTGAGAGGAGATATGATAACATTATACAAATATATTTGGGGGCCAATACAAGCCATTGTGTGGAAAACTATTCACAAACCGGACTTTACACAGGACCCGAGGTCATTCGTTTAGACTGGAAGAAAGAAGATTTTGTCTAAGGAAAGGTTTCTTTACTGTAAGGACAATAAGGATGTTGAATTCTCTGCCTGAAGAAGTGGTTTTATCAGAGTCCATACAGAAGTTCAAACAGCTACTAGATGCATACT